TTTTTTTTTTTTTTTTTTTTTGAATATCTGTCGATCGACTATGAGTGAGGCATTACGGAGGAGTGTTATGAGCGAGATCTAGGCAAGCTTTCGCAAAGTTCGGCTTTCAAAAAAATGCGATCTTGAAAAAAAAATTTGCGCGAAATAGAATGGAGGTTCCACTTTCAGAGAAGAATTAATCCAGTTTCCGAGAATATGGGAACCTCCCTAATTCACCTCATATGCCCAGAGTGAAACAAAAAAACGAAATGCTACTATCTGACTTTCCGGAGATCTGTTGCAAATTTTTTTTTGCAGAGATTTGACGAAGCCCTACTTGATTAACTAGTAATCAATCAATCAATCAATCTGCAAAGAACCTGACTGTTCATAGCTTGCTGGAGTGTATCTCATTGCATGCATAGATGTCATCATACAGATAGAGAAATTTCACACGAAGCCAAATCGAGATGAGATGAGAACCAGATAACGCAGCGCATATTATCAGAACAACATTATACAAAGAGTATCTCAAGTCCAAGAGTTCAGCGCCAACAAAGTATAAGTCTCTCTCGTTCAATCATCAGCATGAGGCCTGGCTAAGCCAGCATCTGCCCTCAGATCACAGGTATGGCGCCGACAGGTAAGTATCCACCATATCCAACTCCCTAACCTGTCTTCTCTCCCTCTCTCCCTCTCGAGATCCCTGTCTTGGTTCCCTTGTCTCACTCTGCATGCTCACTCCCTACTTATGAGGATCTACTCTGAATGCTACTCGCTGATGTCTACTACTAACCCCTCTACTTCTACTAACAAAGCTGGTGCAGCTATGGCTGCTTCTGCCAGTCAGCACCCAGCCTCTTCTTCTCCTGCTTGCGCAGCTTCCAGCCAGCGCATTCTCCCTGCATGCTAGCGCACAAGTGCTTCAGCACTTCCACGCATCTATGCCAGTGGAGATCTGTCGTGTGGGGAGGCTGGCCTGGTCTCTTATAGTGCTGGCCTCCCTTCCCGAGGTCTGAATCAGTATTCCTTGGGTCCTTTCCCAGTCCCAGACCACTGCAGAATGTGTCCCAGTACCTTTCCCTCAGGGTCTGCTGCTGCTGTGGCCTTTAGGCCTGAATTTTGGACTTTGGGTCTGAATCTGGACTGCCTATTGGACTTTGACTTGGACTGGTACTCTACCCCATTGACTTCCATTCGAACAGACACAACTTCTGCACGAACAGACACATCTACTGCACGGACAGACATGACTTGCACAGCCCCCTGGACGAACAGACGTGACTCTCACAATTGAATGCTGCAACTGTTCGTCATGGGGCACGACTGTGACCTTTGACACAACTCACTTTAGTTAGCATGTGACTTTTGACCCAGAGAACATGTCTTTTGATCTGCTTTTCACGAATTGAGTTCCGGCCGAGTGGGCCCCATTATGCTTCGTTCGTCATTCAGGGTCTGAACAGGTAAAGGCCCTTTTAAATCAATCAATCAATCAATCAATCAGTCAAACAAGCAAGCTGGCCCCTTGATTGGGTGGATCCTCTGATTGAGAGGTCCGCTCCGATACCAAACTGTTGCATACCGTAACGGTACAGACCAAAACAAGAACCGACCTCTCTCACATAGTACAGGAGAGCACAGCAGAAGGCTGAAATACCAATGATCAGACTAATCAATGTCACAATGCAGACCAAACATACATCATCACCATCGCCAGGTGTGAAGGGGCCTGTTGCTCTACACAGGAAGAATGCGCCAGGCTCTGCTCATACACAGATGAAAGGAGGGGGATCAGACGAAGATGGGGGAGAAGATGAGAATGTCGCCAGCACCAATGTCGTTGATAGCGATCTCAAATAGTCTCCCATCAATGTCTCTGTTCCAGGTTGAGTCTGTATCCAAGTGTCGTCAACATCCCGAAGTCACAAATCTCTTTCTCTCTCTCTCTCTCTCTCTCTCTCTCTCTCTCTCTCTCTCTCTCTCTCTCTCTCTCTCTCTCTCGCTCGCTCGCTCGCTCGCTCGTAGTCTGTCAGATAGCGAGAAGTCAGGTGGCGAGAGGGGGAGGGAGAGATGGACTTAGGGGAAGAAGAAGAAGAACTCTCTCTCTCTCTCTGGTGCCAAGTACTAACCTGTGAAGGTGGCGCCTTGCAGGTACATCGAAGACGAAGCTGGAGCTATGGCGCCACAGGTAAGTCTCCCTGGCCTCCGCCACCTCTCTCTCTCTCTCGCTCTCAACGCTCCTCTAAGCTCCTAGCAGTGCCCAGCGCTGAAGACTACTCCTAACACTAGCTACTACTACTGCAGCACTCCTGCAGAGTGCCGCGGCCGAATCCTGAAGACTGCCTCCTGCCTCCTGAACTGCCTGCCACCTGCAGGGCGGAGCAGTACTATATACTGTGGGTCCGGCTGGGAGGCTGCTCTTGCCAATGCCAAATCGTGCCAGACCCTGGCGCTGAAGTTAAAAAAAAGGTTGTCTTGAAACGGGCCTAAAAGTGGCCTGCGCTTATCCCTGGTCTGGCGCCTAAGTTTCAGGAAAGGTCGACTTTATGAGGGCCTGAAAATGGCCCTCCTTTTTAGGCTTTTAGGCTGAAACGACACAGGGCCTGGAGGGCCCTGACTTTCCACCTGGTCGGGCCCTGCAGGCCCGTGTGCAGTATGCCACACTACACACTCCCTACGGCCGCTCACCCAGCAGACCACATGCATGTACCGCATAGGCAGAAGGCAAGTGCCAGATTAGCGCAACATACCACAGCTCTGATACCAAAATGCGAGGAAAATGAGCGATAACGAATTCCAGAAACCAAGCAGCATCATACACATGAAACCAGTTAGTCGTGACCTCGAACCAAAAGCAGAATCGCAACTCGAGTTCCACTAAATAAGTGCACAGCAAAAGCTCACAAGTGACATAGTCTCATCATCATCAACAAAGAACCAATGTCGATTCCCTATCTGGCGCTCTGCGCCCAGACTACAAATGGCAGATCATATCTAGCCCATCTACAATGCCGCTGGTGACGTCAACAGCTCCCCGAGGTACGAGCAGATCTCGGCCAATGCCGTTCGCCTCAAGCACCAGGTATGGCTCTCGCATTATGTCTCTCGCATCACTCACACAACCTCGATCTCCCACACAGATGCCACATGCACCCAAGGACCACCATGCGCCCCAACCAGCACCTTGCAGGCCAGCTCGGCTATGGCTGCCTGCGTATCCCTTGTTCGCCCGTGAGCGCGTGGGCACTTGCCTGCCAGTAGTGCAGCAGCGCTTGCGCATCATGTAGCAAGTGCCCGAATGCCCAATGCGGGGGCAGGGACTTTCCTATATGGAAGTGGCCTGCCTGCTGTGTGCGGCCTGGCTGCGCTGGGCCCCTGCCCAGAAGCTTCCGGTAGGCCCCAAGTGGCTGAGCCCCGGTCCAGGGAATGCGGTTACCCGTGTTCAACTGCCCGCAGCCTGTGTTCGGACCGTGTTGTGTCTCTGGCCCAGGGCCTGGGGCGCTTTCAACCAACTGGCGCTGCGCAACTGCCTGAATTTTCCCAGTTGTGTGGTAGTCCAAAATAGGCCTCTCGTCCTTGGTCGGGCCTGCCTTCACTTAGGGCGGCCAACATTGCTGAAAACAGGGCCCAGTAGGGCTCGTCGAGGCCTTGTGCCTCGCATAATTGCATATGTAGGTACAAAAAAAAAGAATCAAAGAAGCATGTACACCATGATTATCCCACCAGCTATCAAGAAAAAATGAAAAAAAAAAGTTCCCTTTTTTAAGGTTTTTTTATTATGTTTCTTTTGATTTTAATACTTGTTTTTTTCGTTTTCAATGTTTTAAAAATCACAAAAACCATTAAAAAAAAAAGAGGGGATGTAGGGTTTTTCAAACCCTATAACCCCATATATATTGTCACATAACTATGAACTAAAAGAGCACAATTTGCGAAACAAACGACTTAAAAAAAAAAAAAAAAAAAAAAAAAACAAGACAAACACGAAGGGCACAGTGAAACCATTCATTTTACTCAATTCTTCTTTTGACTCCCCTTTCACCGTGCCTCTCACGTACAAGGCTTGAAACCATTCATTTTACTCAATTCTTATTTTGACTCCCCTTTCACGGTGCCTCTCACGTACAAGGCTCGCCACGTTGATGAAGTTGAGCGCGAACTGCCCCCATCCCTGTGTGCCATAACAGCCCACTTGTTAGCTGTGAGAAAGAGGCAGAGTGAAGGGGGAGGGGATAAACACAGGGAGGAGAGATGGAGAGCAGACAAACAAAGAACGATAAAGGGAAAGTATGGAGTGTGGAGTGAAGATGAAGGCAAAAGAGGATAAGAAAACGCTCAAGAATGAGTCTGTCCTTGACGACAGAGAGGACATACATTGTAAGGATGACGTGGATGAACACATGGAAGACCTAGCTGAGCATTCTCAGTGCAACAATTGCCACGACGGGTGGCATTGAGCATGCCCGCCATACACCCCCAACAAATAGCATGTCGATTGCAGGCCAAAATCAAAGAAGAACGGTCACCACAAAAGAGCATGGATTCAGTATAGCGCCCATGGCCAGAAAATGGACATATAGTGTCCGGATGCGGAGGGTGCCTGCAGTAAGGAACAGTGGAACAGTCCTCTGCACACATGGATGCAGAAACCATGTCATTGTAGTGATTGTGACAGAGACGATGGCGGCTACAGCCAAGTGTAACAGTGTTTGTGGTTGTGCAAACGAGAAGGTATATATATGTATATATATATTCTGCCTATTATCCTAGGAATTAAAAATGTTGGGGGTTTGCGGCCGCACTTTGGCCCCTGCGGGCATGATCCTGACCACAAACGGTCAGCGGCCCCGCGGTCATGACCGTGGGTGATACATAGGTTAAAGCTACGGTAGTGAGTTACAACAGGAGATCGGCATCTCTAGAAAACTAATGCCTCAGTATTTCAGTCCTCATGAAGTCTTGGATATTGTGGGTAGTGATACGGACGGTCCGTTCTATGTGTCACATGCTGCGCCTGCAACAGGCTGCACGGGCCATTTTCAGGCCTGTGTCGTTTTCAGCCCGAAAGCCTGAAAACAAGGGCCTACAGACCCTGTGTCGTTTCAGCCTGAAAGCATGAAAACAAGGGCCTACAGGCCCTGTGTCATTTCAGTCGAAAACAGGGCCTTTCCGGCCCTGAGTCTTTTCAGCCTGAAACGGAGGGCCATTTTCAGGCCCTCATAAGATCAACCTGCCCTGAAACTCAGGCACCAGACCAGGGTTTTAGCTCAGGCCATTTTTGGCCTATTTTCAAGACAACCTTTGTTTGAGCTTCAACCCCAGGGTCTGGCACGTTTTGGCATTGGCAAGAGCAGCCTCCGGGACAGGCCAGCACTATTTAAGACTGGCCCGCCCTGCAGGCTGCATTTAGTGTCATAGGGACTTCCCAGGCACTTCACGTGCAGTTCAGGAGGCAGGAGGTAGTCTTCAGGATTCGGCAGCAGCACTCTGGAGGAGCGCTGCAGTTGTAGTAGTAGCCTTAGCAGTAGTCTTCAGCGCTGGGCGCTAGTAGGAGCTAGAGTAGTACTGGAGAGAGAGAGAGAGAGAGAGAGAGAGAGAGAGAGAGAGAGAGAG